GAATTATTGAAAATAATATAAAAATTGGCTAAGTGCACAATAGGTAAATTATGGAATCAACAGATGAATGGTTTAAGAAACCGTGGTATGTGTGTGTGTTTATGTATGTATGTGTGTATATACACACACACACACATACATATATATACCAATTTACACACACACACACACACACACCACACACACACACACACACATACACACACACACACACACATACACACACACAAATGGAGTTCTACTCAGCCATTAAGGGCATTTGCCAGTAAATGGATGGAAATGGAGACTATCATGCCAAGTGAAATTAGCCAAATTCAGAAACTCAACGAACAAATGTTTTCTCATATGTGGGAGCTAGAAATAAAGAAAAGGGAGGAAGGAAGAACAAGATTATATAAAGCACCAATCAAATGTAAATGAATAGAGAGTAAAAAGGAAGTCTAGTAGAGGAAGGAGAATGGGAGAGGAGGGAAAGGGGAGAATCATGAACTGAAATTGATTTCCATGTATGTATAAGTTTGTTGGGATGAATTCAACTACTATGTATATCTAACTATAAAGCTCTAATAATAATAAAAAGGATAAAAAATAGGTACCATAATCATATATGAAAAAAGTGGCTAAGTAATTAGTGGAGACTAACAGATGGAGTGACACTAGCAGAGGCCTCTAGAGGTTTAATAGGGGGAGAGCGAAAGAAAAACATAGAGTGGTTTAAAAACAAAACAAGCAAAACAAAACTGTTTTCACTGATGGAGAATAGATCAGAGTGATGTGTGCACCCTAAGGTTGTGGCCGACACCAGAGGCTGTGCACTGTGAGGGCAAAGAGACTTCACTAAAAAGGCACCGGCCAGCTCCTAAACCAATGAAGAATCAGCAAAGAGAAATAAGTTCTAGTGGTGAAGATGGAGGTTATTGTGCAGGTTTGAAAAGTCCTCAAATTTTATTTAAAAAAAGTTATCTATACATAAAGAAATTGAATGAACTCCATGTAGAAAAAAGCACAGAGTTCCATACCCAGACACAGTTTCATAGGGCATATGGAAAGACAGAAGTTATTAAAACAGCATATATTCAATATGTACAAGGTAATCTCAGTAAAATTAACTGCTGGTGTCTCATAAATAAACAATGGAGCCCATAAGGCAGTGATGTGACATATTAATGTGAAAGAAGAAAACACTTGTCTACCAAGAATCCTATATCCAGCAAGTTTATTTTGAAAAACGAAGATTAAATAAGGGCTTTCCAAGATAAATAAAAGCTGACATAATTCACTGCTGGAAGATCCAATTCAAAGTTCAAAGTGACACCAGACAATTTTGTGAATCTTCATAAAAGGAAAAAACAAAACAAAGAACAGTGGTAAAGATAATTATGTAGATAAGTACAGAAGTATAATTTTATGTTCCTCTTCTTTTGTTCACGTAAATGATTTTTTAAAATTGTACAAAACTATAGTCATATGAGTATTACTAAGCCTATAACACACAGAAATAAAACATATTTGACAATAACAGGATAAATGAAGTGGGTGGGAGCAATGTTTAGGAGTGAGGGGAAGACAAAAGATGGTAGCTTGAATCTACAGGGAAAATAAATGAAGAGAACCAAAATTAATAAATACAAATTTAATAAAACTTTTGACCCTGAAATATATACTTGTTCTCATTTCTCCTCTCAACTTCTTTAAAAGATTCACATTAGATAATGTAATAATTGCGGCAATGTGTTGTTTACCTTTTATATAATTTAGGATTAGTATATATAAGAAGAAAAGCAACACAGAAAGGGGGGAGGAACAAGTCATATAGAATTAATTAACCTTCTGTCCCTCCCAGAAATGAACGTAGTGCAAATGTGAAGCAGATTCATGTCAGTCAGATGTATACTGAAAACCCCAAAGCTATTAGAAAAATAACAAAGCATATACTGAAAAAAAAATCACTGAAAGTACTAAAATATGAATAAAAAGTACTAATATCATGATAAAGAAAGCAGTAAAGAAGGAATGGAGGAACAAAAACCAAACCCAAATAGTGAAAATAGAAACAAACAAAACTATGTCAATAAGGAAATTAATGTAAATGCATTAAAGAATCCACTCAGCTTGTCAGACTAGATAAACAAAACATCAAAATAAAACAAACAAACAATAGATAAAAGTCTTACAGGAGATATACTTTGGGTTCAAAGTTGGCAATAAGATAAAATTATAAGTCTAGTAAAAAAAAAACACCATTTAAACAGCAACCTTAAGGGAGTGGAATGGCTCTACCACTGTCAGTAAAATGGGCCTGTGACTACACTATATTTTCCACTAAGGGCAACACTGATAGAAAATGTATTTACTGAAGAAATATGTTGTATGGTAAGCATCAGGGATATACTATAAATTGGGTAGCAAATGACAGAAATCTGATTGTTGGTCTTTATGTGTTTATGTCTTACTGCTAGAGAAAATATCTTACACACCCTGAAAGACAGCCTTTTAAGGTATGGATCTAACTTTCTGTGTTAATATTTTACCTTTGGCTCAGAGGTAAAACTGAACTTGCTAGTTCTCTTTGTGAGTTTAAAAAAACTGTCTTTTCAATCAGAGATAAAATTTCTTTGTTTGCACTCACTCTAGGAATATTTAGTCCATACAGGTACTAGATTCCAAGTAATCTTAAATTTCACAGAGCTTCTGACCTGATTGATTTATATAGATTAATAAGAATTTATGTAATTCAAATTTAGGAAAATAATAAACAAAGAAGAAACTGAACTATTCCATGAAATTTCTAACCAATAAAGCATTTTATGTAAGAATATAAATCCACTAAGTCAAAGTGAATCTTGGGAGGTATCAAAGTAGCTTGATAATTTTGGATTAAAGTGGCTTTGTGAAAACTACAATGAGATATCACTTCATTTCACATGCAACATGATGGTTATTAAACAAAATGACAGATAATAGCAAGTATTGATAAAAAAAATGTGGAGGAATTGGATCTCTTATTATCGCTGTTCGGCTGCTTGAGAAAGCAATTTGGCAGTTTCTCAAAATATTAAACATGGAGTCATCACATGACCAGGAAATTCCACTGCTGGGTGTTTAAATAAGAGATCTGACAATTCATACTCACAAAAATATTAGGAAGATTGTCCACAGTCTAATCTTAAGCTCTGGAAAGCTGATCCTACCACAGCCCTTTTCTTATCTTAGAAAAGGCTCATTTTCTATAGCCTGATGAATTTCTTATCCCTACTATGGGTTCTTTTCACACTAATTTGTGAAATCATTATTTCTTGAAACAGACTTTATAACTATTAGAAATGATTTGCGAAGGAGGAAAAAAAAACATACTAACCAGGCCTATAAACTTCCTAACCATTACTGAATATCAGCAGATATTTCCAAAACAGTAATGCTAAATGCAAGAGATTAAAATTTCTTGAAAAACAGTGTAGCAAATTCTGAAAGCACATTTGTAATTAAAATTTCACAGCTTTCTGACTTATCTTGCATAACAGTTTTTTCAACTTGATGTTTTATTCCCCTCTAGGATAAGCACAACAAAATCAAACAAAACACCTTGAGAAATCTCATCAACCAAATTGCCTAATGAAAGTTCTCCTCTTGATGCATACTAACATTTTTTATTGATATATTTATCTAAATTTATGCACTTTTATATATAGGTCTAGGTATGGAATGTCTTTAGGGGAAGAATCTCTAAGAAAAATTCTGCCAGAGAAATCCATTCAAGTATCTAGAAGAAAAAAAGAAAACATGAAGGTGGGTCCAGATAAATCTTAAAATCACTTTTTTGAGTGAGGAAAGGTTGTAAATTACTACCATATGCTTAGCCACGCTATGGACTAAATATGAATAACTGAGGAGATTTTTCATAATAATAATAAATATTTAATGCAATCATTCAAATCATATTTTAAAATAGTTATGCTTCTGCTGATTTGCTTGTATTTATTTAATCCTAGCAAGAGGAAAAAAATAAAATTATTACTTTGATTTTTTAAGAGCAGAGTCTATAAAGGGGAGATTTTTATGTTAAAAATCAACCATCTCACAGATAATATCACATGAAAAGGATAGTTTCACACTCAGCTGTTATTGTTTAATTCCATTCAAAACTTACCTTTTGTAAGTATTTTAAAAATAAAAACACATTTTGTTTCATTAACGTAATATTTAACATAATTTTTAAGAGCAATACTAATGAAAAGTTATAAGGGTTCAGATATAAAATTGTGAGTTTGTAAATATAATGCCTCATTACCTTGATATAAAATAGCATTTTTACACATACTTTAAAAACCTTATGTATGTATAACTTTCACATTTTGAAAGGATAAGAAAATTGTTGGGTGTTTTTTTTTTCAGAGTGAGGCTGGCATTTATTATAAAATGTTCTTTAAAATCCTGACACTTCTTGTGAAAATATGAATAAATTAAAAATGTACCAAATTCATTTTTAGTTACTATATTCAAACTAATTCATCCCACTCAAAATAAATTAATAACAATGGAAATTTATGGGAAATCCCACAGGAATTGAATTTGGATGATTGAATTCCACAGACTTACTATGGAAAAGTGTTAATGGTATCAAGGGAGCTATCTAAATTCAATCCTCTGCCATCAAATAGAGTCTAACAAAGATAAAAGCAGCAGAAACAGGCTGTGGGGAATTTTAAAGTATCTGTACATATTTAGGCTGAAAGATGGGTTTCAATGAAATAAAATATAATCATAATTTTACCAATAAGACTATGAAAATGTACAAAATAATTTCCTGTTAAAACCTATCATACACAAACATTTCAAAGTGATTCATTATAATAGCCATTTTCTTTATAAAAAATAGTCCATAATCTTCTAATTTATTATTAGACAAGATTTAGACTAAGATAAAATTTTAGAGCAAAATACTGTTGACTAAAAAATATGACAATGAACATTTCACTGGACTTAATAAAAAAAATTTATACATTGGCCTTTCTTAGGCTTTCTCTAGAATTTTAATCACATTTCTTCTCCAAGTTAACAAACCAAGAAGAACTCATTATTGTTTTATTGATCAAGATGAATATTGGTTTTGGAAAAGTTTTAAACATCCTTTTTCTTCTTCCCTTTTCAAACACACACACACACACACACACACACACACACACACACACGTGAACACACCTTCCTGCAAATCATAATGTGACAACCAAAAATAAAAGTGCTCAGAGGAAGTAGGAAAGGACTGGCAATTGGTACTTTAATACTCTGTTATTTCTTTAACAATTCCAAGACAAAATCTGACTTTGGTTTCCTTGGACTAGAAAGGCAATTCATTGAAGAATTGCCTCAATAGGCTCAAAAAGTTTTAAAATAAATTATGACTGAGTACTAAAAGTAGTAGATACATGCAATTTCACCAAAGTGATGAAAATAATTGAATGTGAGTATATTGCATATAATCTTTCCATTCTATTTTTAGTCTGAGAACCACCAAATCCACCATAATTCTCATTATGCAGTTAGTGATTATAACAAGCACCAACCACCTTCCACAGGGGAAGTCCTATAAAAGGACAGCAAGTCTGGCCAGCCCTTCAGGAGTGTACAATGATAGCATTGTTATTTACTTACACTTTTATTCTTTAAATGAACTTAAAATCATCCACATTTCAAACTTAGACTCATCTAAAGTAACAATAATTATGAAACTCCAGGTATAAAATTCTAGTTATATTTTTTCTATTACAGTATATTATTATATGAAAGTAATATCTCCTAAATATTCCCACATACCACCAATACTACAGGCAAAATATTTAGTGAAAACAGATTACCCTATATAATTTGTCAAACTGATTTCTTTTTCATAGAAAAAACTGATGAACATATATTAGCATGAAATTTAAAAACAGATTAATTTTCAGTGTAATGTCATGCTTGCTAATTATGCACTGTAGTACATCATTTGAGCTTTAAAAATATGAACAAAGGCAGTTGAGTTGTCATGTGAACTGAAATACTCATTGCTTCAGTCTCATAGTGGAAGACTAATGAGTTGTGAGGAAGTTATAATTTACACCAAATGAAGATATAAAGAGTATATACAAAGGAGAGACTGACTGAAGATTCCCCTTGGGTCCTATCTTCCCAAGAACAAAGAGCCTTTGTGGTTTCTATAGTGGATAAGAGTTAAAAGTGACCTCTGGTTCCCCTAAGAAGTGATTTCTATGCATGGAGAGGAAAAAAATGGGGGGGGATGTGGTTCAATATTATAATTCTGCTACATATGTTCATAGGAAAATAATTTTATCTTGATATCTTGATTTGAATTTGATCCATTTTCTATATTGTCAGTATATCCCATTCATTCTATAATAATGTTTCAAATCACCTGCCTTTGCATCTAATCAGTGTTCAGAAAGGTAAAGCCCATTTTAGTTTATTGTTCCTGAAAGCAGATGGAAT